GTCACATTAATAATACATTGATATTACAGTATTACATAAATGATCACATGATAAATGATAATCTTAGATTTTAACGATGTAAGAACAGTTCTTTAAAAAGTTCGTCGGCAGTTTGTTCTTGTCCATCTAGCTCGGTATTTAATGTATTAAGGTTTTTGTTAATTTTATTTTTGTTTCGAAGATCTTTAAGTTGTTCATTATTAATTTGAACTTCTTTTATCTTGGCTACTGAAAAGCGCATTTTAGATTGTTGAGTACTTTGGGCCATATTAGGGTGAGTTTTCAAGTCCCACTTGTTAAACATGCCTTCAATTTGTTGTTGGTGGACAATAATATACCAAATCTTATTTTTAACGAAATCATATAGTTGTGGATATTTGTGAAGTGAGACGTTTGAATCTTCAACGAAGGAGCTAAATTCTTGAAAAAAAGAATCATTGGTAAGTGCAGTTTTAAGACTGAAATCTTCAAGCCTTCCTTGTGCAATATCATCTTTTAGAAATTGCGCATAACATAACTCTTTTAGTGTAGGAAACTTTGGCCACGGTTTTTTTAAAACAACATGCCAATAACTATGTGTGAACTGTTGGCTGTTATCTCCACCAAGATGACAAACACTTAGAGGAAGGTAGAGCCAACAATTTAACCATTTTTGATGTAACTCGAGCCCTTTTTGCATTCCACATTTCAAATTCTTAAATAATAAATCAATTTCTGAATCATTCATTATCTCTGTGTTTTGTAGAAGTTTGGCACCAAAAAACAGATAAGTATTTTTCAGAATATTTATAAGTTTGGATGTAGAATTAATTATAAAATCTGGTATTTGATGTGCGCGACGGCTAGGTGGTAAGTATTGTAATGAATCCAAATGTATAACTCTAGGTTGTGGATCATAACCGACGAGAAACCTTGTAAATGGGCGATAAAATTCTTGGCCAAATTTGACTAAACATTGAAGTTTTATATTTAATTTAGGATCATTTAACCAGTTTTGAAACAATTTTCATTTTTGAATATAAGAAGTAGGTGCCTTTTTTAAATTTTTAAGTTTTGGAAGAAACCATGTAACAAATTCTAAATGAATTTCTTATCGATCAAGATATTGTTCTGCAGTAGTCAACTCGTATTGCCATCTTGAGCGCAAAGGCTGTTGATACTTAGTTAACTGATAACCCAACTGTGCTTTATAAAGGTCTTTAATTGATTCGCTTCTTATATTTAATGGTGAATCCTTATTACTTCTATTATATCCGTCATGTAGCATCCACACCAGGTAGAGAAGATTATACGGATGATGATTCTTAGAAAATCCTGTAGCCGTTGGAAGCTTACCAAAAGCCATTTCTTCGAAGTTATTTAAAATTAAATGTAGCACGTGTAGTCCACAAGGTATTCGAATACAATTACATTTACTTAATTGTTGAAATTTTGTTACAGCATCACCATTTTGACCGCTCATATAATTTGTGTTGTCCGAAAGAAAGGTAAGGCATTGTTTTGTATTCAAGTTATACTTCTTACAAGTTTCTACAAGATCCTTACTAATAGTGTCAGAATTACATCGTAAGAGATCTTTTGTTTTCAAAAGTACTGTATCAGGCAGGTTTTTTTCTGAATTCCAGAACATTAAACATTCGATAAGTATTTTTTTTTCTCCTCGACCTGATTCATCTGCCATAATCCCAAATGTGAAATAATTTGATGGATTCACTCGTTAAAATATATTTTTTATGTGCAATTCGGATATCTCACAATGCCAATGACTAACAGTAGTCTTAGAAACCCAAGATTAAGTATCATTCCCGGTTAAAAAATTAAAAATGGTTTTTATATTTTTGGCTGCGGCAATAAACGAAGTTTGTCCAATTTGTGAAACTTGCGTTGCAAGTTTCATAAATTCTAAATTATATTCTTTGTTGTTTTTCATAATTAAGTTTCTTATTACTGTTTTTATATCTTTATATTTTAGTTCTGGTGGTCGCTTAGCCTTAGTGCAGATTTGAGATATATGATAGCATCAAGTGAATGAATAAAATTTGGTGGGAATGCTGCTCGTTGTTTCATGCTATTTACTGGACTAGGTGTTTCAGAATCTATAATATTAATGGATTGCAGATAGGTTTTGACTTGCCTCTTGTTCGGTCTTCGATATGGCTGAACTATTGGCAAATCTAGTGGAGTCGTCCAAACCACTGCAGTCATTTGATCTGATGCTGATTTATTAGGCGGAATTTTAACTATGGATTTCTTTAAAGGGTTTATATAATCTTCAACTTCTAATTCAAATAAATTATCATTTTCATTTTTAATCTCTTCAGCAGATTTTAACACGCGCTCGGGCGGCAAGCTTTTAGAAATCCACTTAGCACTTTCGCTTAACCATTCTTGAATTGCTCTTGCTCCTTTAAACATTTCTCCTAAGCTATTAAACACACATTTTGCAACATAATGTGATAATTCATGAAGTCGATATTGTGGTATGCTTTCAATTTCTTTGAGCCGAGCTTCAATTTGCAATCGAGCTCCAATAAATGTCACACCGTACACGGTTGTCATTACAGTCTGTTTAACAACTTTACGAGAAATGTGATCAAGTAATATTAAAGCTTTTTCATCACCATTTTCTGCATCAATTCTGATCAATTCTTTTACCCTCTTAGCAACTGCCGTATATATATCCGACGGTGAATCAGATGGTGCTAGATTGACTTGAGACGCACCCTCCAGGTCACCACCAAGAGCGGCGTAATGTTGTAATCCATTGCAAGTACCATCCTGATGTATCGGAATATGTGACAAATATTGTTCTGGCGATGGTGAGCGTATTGCATCAGTTAATTCAAAGCATGCTGCTAAGCATTGCCATGGATCTTCAGCTTTTTGCCACCATCGTTTGCCTTTCAAAGGATAATCTGCAGAATCCATTATTTCGGCAATATTTTCGTTAGCAAACGCTTCTCTTTCATTAAATGAAACTTTGTCATATCCACATAAATTTGCCAAATGAATTTTAAGCCATCTTAAACCAGTTTTGCCTAATGGTCTTGCATCTCTGAAGACTAATAAACCGCGACATAAGTCATCACCCATGTGGTTCAAATGTGACGGAATCGGATATGCACGACCACGAAAATCCAGACTATGAGGAAAGTACATTGGTTCGTCAAGATACTAATAAATAAACATGGATTACGAAATAAATAATTTTTTTGTAAATAATAAAAATACATAAGGTAAAATAAAATAACAAAATAAAACTCACAGCGCCAGCAATTTCCACCTTATAATT